CACACACACACACACACACACACTCCAAGGGTGGCTTTCAGACCTGTAGCCCTCAGTGCTGCAGGAATGAGCCCACTGCTCTCTGGAGACTTTGCTAGGCCTTTGAAAATCGTTTCTCATCCCCCTGCGTGACAAGTTCCCCACGTGGGCCGGGCCTTGAGACGAGCCCCACCTGGGACAGTTCAGCAGAGCCTGGTGCTGGCAGGTGGGGCGGTGAGTGGGCCTCCGGGACAGAGGAGAAGGCGGTGCTGCCTGGTGGGGCCACCTTCTAACTCAGCGGCTCCAGGGCCTCTGATCCGACACCATCCTACCTGACAAAACGAAAACCAAGAGAATTTTTATGAATTTATTTGAGCCAAATCGACAACGCTTGTTGAGAAGCAAGTGCTTACATCCTTCTCAGAATACTCACACCTGCTGCCTGGCCGTCGCCTCCTGTAAGGTCTTCTGAGGGAAGGAGAAGGCCCCGTCCCCAGGGCTCTGTCAGGGAGGCCCGGCCTCCTCCTTGAGCAGGAAACGTTCTTTTCAGGTTTAATGCGAAAGCAACGATCTAGGACCAGGGGGTGGGGGCCATGCTTAAAAGACTGAATGGAAAACTTTACTTGTTAGTAAGATAACAGAAAGTTGCTACATGATCTCCCCCATATCAAATAATGAGGCTCCTGTGATTAAAGTACAGGATCCAAGATACATTAAATCGAAATACTTACTTAAGTCTAGTAATGCTTTAGACCAAACAAAAAAGGAGAAATTGAGGAACTCAGTCTAGTTCTAAATTTTTTTTCTGTTGATTCTTAGAATAACTTTTAAAATCCTAATTAAAATCAAAAGGCTGCATTTTGTGGCAGTGTCTGCCCCCACCCCCCCAATTAGGCCAGGTAGTGTTTAATTAAACAGTAAGTTATCCCAATTATGTGAAAATGTCTTCCTACTAGTTTCAGAGGTGTTTTGTACCATTTGCCAAGAAAGAAAGTTGGATAATTATCTCAAGAAAATGCTGCCTCCTCTGAAATTTAAAGTTCAAAGTACTTTAAGATGTCTTTGGGCTAGTATAGAAAAGACGTTTTACTAAAATTATACCAATTCTCAGGTAGATGCCTCCAAAGAAAGGGCATTTTTAAGTGGTTAGTTCTGAAATTAGCAAGTTCTCATCTCTTTCTAACTTTTATATTTATTGGTAAAATTACAACTGTCCATTTTTATAAGATCCTCCTCCTGACGTAAAGCTAAGGAACGCTTAACCACCAACCATGGACACTGATTTATCTGGTATGAGATCTGGTCTCAACCCCTCCAACATGATAGAACTTACTCTTTGAAATGTATTTGAAAAACGTGGGACATTTAGTTACCAGTGAAACGTTGCACGTCGTCGATGAAACAGGACAATCATAACAGAACACGAAGCCGCTCGCTGGTCTCTGTCTGGCAGCGCTCAGGGGGTTCGTGGTTAGGACGTCGGAGTGGTGGTGGAGCCAGGCAGGCAGGCACGGTGTGGCTTTTATAACTAACGCTGCAATGTTTCCACCCTCAGTTTCTAATTTCAAAAGTCTACACAGAATCCCTGGGTGTCGACTGCGAAGCCAGAGACCCCGCCATGCCCCCCGGCTGCAGCCAGCCGGGCACTTCCGTTGGTGAGGATGCGGCCATCCTCATTTGCAGACTCCATACTTGCTGAAACGTATCTGTAACCACAGACACGCACTCAGGGCACCTTTGTAGTTTTCCGCAGACACGCACGTGCACGGAACGGGGACAATGCGAGTTTCCCAATGTGCATTTCCCAGCTGAGGTGAACAGGGTGACGCCGCCTTCTTGGTTCAGCTCCTATTGTAGGCAAGGGTCCTTTCACAGCCTATGGGGTGCCATGTTTGGCTTTTCCCATTTTTTGTGCATTTTATTGGTAATTTTGCTGTTTAAAACGGTCCCCAGTGCAGGGCTGAAGTGCTGTCTCATGTCCGTAAGTGCAGGCGGCTGTGACGTGCTTTAGAGAAAACCTGGGTTACAAAAGCTTTGTTCAGGCCTAAGGTACAGCGCCGTTGGCCACAAGGTCCAGGTTAATTGACGAATCAACAGTGTGCGTAAAACATGACGTCTTTAAACAGAAACACGTAAAACAAGGTTGTGTGTTGATCGGCTGACGAAACTGTGACCGGGGTCTCGCAGGAACCTATGTCCCCTCAGAGGGGTGACCTTTTAGGTGACACCATGGGTAACGAGAACGATTTGAGTTCTGAGTCCCCGCGTCCCGCAGAACTGCATGGCGATGGTGGAGCAGAACCAGGTGTGGGTCGGCTCGGAGGACTCCATCATCTATATCATCAACATCCACAGCATGTCCTGCAACAAGCAGCTCACCGACCACCGCGCCAGCGTCACAGGTCTGGTGGTTCAGGACGGCCCGGCGGCGCCCAGGTACGCCAGCTCTTGGGAAGCACGCGGTTCCTGGAGGGAAGGGGTCAGAATCACCGCAGGCGATCTGCCGTGGGGCCAGGCCTGTTGAGTGAAGCGTGTCCAGAAGGAAGTCAGGTGGCCTGCTTGTCTATTTCTGTCTTGGGGACAGAGCAGCATGGTCAGTGGCAGCTGGCACGTGGCCTTTCTTGGCTTCGGGTGGCCTGGGCGCAGTACTGGGTGTGCAGATGCCTCCAGAGCTCCGTCTCCACAGGGAGCTCTCCGTCAGCCCGTCGGTCCAAATCTCCCCTTCTTATGAGGATGCCGGTCTTATTGGATTGGGGTCCTCCACCCTGTTGACACCATTTTAATTTGAATACTTCTGTGAAAGCCCCCTTTCCAAACAAGGTCGCCTTCTAAGATCCTGAGGGTTAGGGCTCCAGCACATCTCTTTCCGGGGACACAATTCAACCCCTTAGGTGTATTTACCTCATTCACTCACTGCACTTATCGCATTAACAGCACCAGCTCCCCGAGGGCAGACACAGTGTCTGCTCTGCTCTGTGTCCCGTGCTTATTAGCACAGGACCTGGCACACAGGAAGTGCCCTGGGCAGGCCTGAGAAAGAGGTGGGGTTCCCACTTCCCTCTGTGGAGGAAGTGTTTTCCCGCTGAATTGGTTACATTTTAACTAAGACTTATTCTCGCCACATTAAAACAGTGCATTTGCCTGTCACTTGCTATCCATGTTGTAGGCACTTTATCCAGTGGCAACTTTGTTCTTTTTAATTAATAAAAATGTACAGTGTTACCAGGGGCCCAAATGAAACGTGTGCATGTGCTCCTGCCTCAGCCAGGTGTACTCGTGCAGCATGGACGGGACTGTCCTGGTGTGGAACGTGAGCTCGCTGCTGGTGACCAGCAGGTTCCAGCTGCCGAGCGGAGGGCTTTCGTCCATCAGACTACACGGTGGCCGCCTGTGGTGCTGTAAGTCCTCTGTTGTCCTCCGCTGTCAAAGCAGGAAGCCATCCCCTGCTCTAGGAAGGGAAAACAGATGAGCACTCAAGGCCTGAAATTTCCTTTGCTTTAGGCATTTCCAACTTTTAGTTGAAAAGTTCACTGTCTTTTAAAGCTCTGGTCCCTCCCCTGTGCTCCCTCCTGGGTCTGACGCTCCCCCAGCCTCCACACACCTCCCTGAGCGCTGCTCCCCCAGGCTCCCCACACCTCCCTGGGTGCGTCCCCCACACAGCTAACAGGAAGCCTGCTGGCCTCTCTCCTGCTGGTAGCGTGAACGCCCCAAATGCCTCCAGGAGTCATCGCTGCTCCTTCCGGAGCGTTCTGTGGCTCAGTCATGTGTGTGCAGCCTGAGGGCGGGCCAGGCGGGCCCCTGCTGCGTGCTCACCTCTTCTCACAACACAGACCCGGGGCATTGTGTCTGCGGGGCTGAGCCGGGCATTCTGCCAGGGGCGGGACAGGGAGGTTCAGACGCAGTGCATGTGGTTTACGGTCTGTACGTTGACGTCCTCCCTGGAGTAGCTGGGTAACACGGGTGAGGGTCGCCAAGATGTGTGTTTTCAATTGAAGCATATTTTGTGTAAAATGCATAAAGGGTCCAGTTCGTTGTGTTTTAGTATCTGCCACACAGCTCTCCAGCAATCAAGACGTGGAGATCTCCATCCACCTAAAAGCTCCTCAGTGCGCCTCCTAGGCAGCCCCGCTCAAAGGAACAGGGTTCTGACCTGTCACTGCTCTGCCTGTTCCCGAACTTCCTGTAAATTGCTCCACGGCCTGTGTCCTTGTGACCCGGCTCTCGTCAAGTCAGTGTGACGTTTTTAGGGTTCGCCTGTGACGCTGCGAGTCTCAGCAGCTCGCGCTTTACTGCCGAGCAGTATCTCCCTGTGTGAGTGTCCGTTCCCATGGGGGAGGACTCGGCTTAACCACGTCTGCGTGTCTGAGGGGCTGTCAGGCGCCCCCGGAGCTGCGGCTCCATCACCTCCTCACCCACACTTAGTGCTTTCCTGACACCGTCCCTGTGGGTTTGGTGGCACATCCTCGGTGGCTGATGACGTGGAGGATCGCCGTCTGTGTGTCTTCTTTGGAGAGCTGTCTGTCCAGATCTTTTGCCCGCGGCCGTGTTCACTTACAACGCTTCTAGTTACTTGACTGGCGTCTGCTGTCGTCTGTTTCTTGCCCACCTTCCCATCTGTACGTTTCTTCGTTCGGGCTGAGTAGCTTTTATATTCAGTGTAGTTTTCTTTTTTCCTTTTTAAAGAAATTTTATTGGGGAACAGTGTGTTTTTCCAGGACCCATCAGCTTCAAGTCGGGTAGCTGTCTTCAGTCTAGCTGTGGAGGGTGCAGCTCCGTGGCGCATGTGGGGATCGAACCAGCAACGTTGGTGTTCCGAGCCTGCGCTCCAACCACCTGAGCTAACCGGCCGCCCTAGTGTTCTTTCTTGTCTTTTCGGCTCTGCTTTGGCTTTTTAGTGGCTACTCTAAGGATTGCAACGTGCGCCCTTAACTGTCACACCATTTCACGTGTGATGTGAGCAGCTCACAGCAGTAAAAGTCATTCCATTTACTGCCTTCTGCCCCTTGTGCTGCTGTTGTTAAACGCAGGATTTTACCTCCACAACTGTGTGATAAGCCTAATATGTTTTTAAAATTTTTGCTGAATCACCTTGTGGTCAGAGGCCTGCGTCTGGGTAGTGGCCGGTGGCTCTGCGGTCCAGTCTCCGGCTGTCGTGTGCATTCAGATTCAAAGCCAGGCTCTGTCCCTGGAGGGAGGGTCCCTGGGCAGGTCCCTCAAACTTGCGGTGTCTGCGTGTCATCACTCAGAAAGTGAAATGCCACCCTTCCGATGTGAGCACCGAGGGCTGACACGCTAGAGCAGCGGTTCTCAACCTGTGGGTCGCGACCCCTTTGGGGGTCGAACAACCCTTTCACAGGGGTCGCCTAAGACCATGGAAAACAAAAAGATATTTACATTACGATTCATAACAGTAGCAAAATTACAGTTATAGAGTAGCAACGAAAATAATTTTATGGTTGGGGGTCACCACCACATGAGGAACTGTGTTAAGGGGCCGCAGCGTTAGGAAGGCTGAGAACCGCTGCGCTAGAGGCAAAAGCATCCTCAGCCTCCGTGCTGACGGCTGGGAGAGGTCAGTGACAGTCACCCTGAAAGTGGCCCTGACAGGATGGGTGCTGCACCCCAGTACTGAGCCGGCTTGGAGAGGAGGGGTATGGACTTGGAAAGGCGCACGAGCCGTGGAGGGGGGCCGTGCCCAGAGCGCTTTTCCTGGACGGAGCCTCCCAGGCCCTCTGCCTCCTGCTGGCCAACAGCAGGGCCCCCAGCACCCTTCCCTGGGTGCCTGGCCCACCTGAGGACAGTGACTAGTCCTGTCAGCCCCATGCCCGCTCCGCGTGCAGCAGGCCCCCTCACATGTCTGCACAGCCAGAGCCCGTGTGTGAGTGCTGCCAGCTCCCCCTGCCGGCCCGGGCCCCACACATTAGCACAGGCGGCGTGCACTTAGGGAGAGCCTGGAGCCGCCGGTCAGCACCGAGGAGGAGCCCAGAGGGCCGGAGGACCCTGCAATGTCCAGAGGGACAAGCTTCTCCGTGGGGCTTCCCGCCGGCCTGGCCTCCCTAACAAGCAGCAGCACCCAAGGGCCAGTCATGAGCCCAGGTGGGTAACGGCCTACCTGGATAAGGGGCTTCCTGCAGGACAGATGTGGGGGGCTCGCACTTTCCGTGACTGAAAACCCAGGGACAGAGGGTTCACGTTCTCAGAGTGGCCACATGTCAGGGACCTGCAGCCAAACTCACCTGTCAGAAGCCTGAGCAGCACGCGGCGTGGGGGCACCCTGTGCCTCACAGGCTGCTGTTCCTGGGGAATCTGCCTCCCACCCCGGACGGCGCCCCCTGAGGCAGGGCTGTGTCTCCCTGTATCTGTGGTGGCTTCAGCACGTGGGGGCGGAGCCCTCCAGCTCCTCCCACCCCATCTCCCCAGATGTGCGTTACCTCCACGGAGGGCCTGGTTTGGACGACCGGTAGCTCTCGTGACGGGGAAACTTGGTTTGCAGAAGATACTTTCCTTGAGTGGTTCAGAGAGAGAGACAGAGGAGCACTTAGCAACAGGCACTGTCACCTCTCACTCTGACAAGCGCCAGCTGGGGCAGCACTGGCTGTGGCTTCAGGTGGCAGGGAGCCTCGGAAAGCTGCTGCGTCTCCGCCGTGTTTCGCAAACCCGCAGAAGGGGCCCTGGGCTCCCGCAGCGTCCTCATCAGTGAAAAGGGCTGCGGTCGCGAGGGCCCCTGTGGGGAGTAACACGGGTGAGAACGTGAAACCAGAGCCAGAACCAGCCCCACGTGGCCACTAAGGTCACAGACGCTGGGTGCTGTCAGCCTGAGGGAGGGACCAGAGCCTACCGGTCCCACTGTCACTTGCTTTGCACGCGCTCTGCCTGCCCCTCAGCCTGGCTCTGTCCCCTGCAGGTACAGGTAACAGTATCACAGTTGTGACAGTGAATGGCTCTCTCCGTCAAGAACTGAAGATTGAAGAGAGCTTCCAGGAGAAAAACACCTCCTTCCTCGGGTTCCAGCTCGTCCCCGAGGTACTCGCAGCGTCTGTCCCTGCCGCCCGCACAGCCCCGGGCTGTTGCCACCCGCATTGTGACTTCTGTTTCAGCAGGAGCAGCTCTGGGCGGCGTGCGCGGGATATGATGACATTTACATCTGGGGCCTCAAGGACCTGGCCCAGCCCCCTCAGAGGATTCACCTGCAGGACTGCGCCAAGGTCAACTGCATGCTCAGGGTGAAGAGGCAGGTGAGACACAGGCCGGGCTCCACCAGGGCAGCCCCGCTGGGCTCTGGGGACGGCCGGGGCTCGTCCACTTGAGGCTCTGTCCTCTGGGCCTGTCCAGGAAGGACGTGGGTTTGGGGTAAACCACCCCACCCAGCCACCCACGAGGGGTCTGCTTTCCCGGGCCGGGCTGTGTGTGGCTGATACCCCTCGGTTTCTCCTGGCAGATCTGGGTGGGCGTCACAGGGCTGTCGCAGGGAAAGTCCAAAGGGAAAATCTATGTGATCGATGCCGAGAAGAAGACGGTGGAGAAGGAGCTGGTGGCCCACACCGACACCGTGAAGACCTTGTGCTCGGCCGAGGACAGATATGTGCTGAGTGGGTCAGGCAGCGAGGAAGGAAAGATTGCCATCTGGAAAGTGGAGTAAACCCAGGTAAACGTGCCGGTCAGAGCCGGCTCTGTGAGCGAGGACCCCGTGCCTTTCGCCAGCTTCCCAGGGCTGTCCCAGAGAAGGCGGGGTCCGGAGCCAGGCTGCGGGGTGGGGGTGGGGGTGTCCACGGCAGGGGCCTGCTGGGCTCTCCGGCCTGTTCTGAGACCCATGAGCGCACTCTCTCGAACTTTCCTGATTAAACGGCACCAACAGCGAGCGTGTCGGGTTGGGGTCCTTCTCAGACAGGCAACCGGATCGACTGTGTGATAGATACCCTCTGCTGAGACGTTACCCCGTAAGTTAGCTAGAAAGTTCCAGAATCCACAACCAGGGGCCAGCACTGGAGCCAACAGGAAGCAATTTAGCCAAATCACCCGGGACCTGCAGACTCCACATCTCTGGTTTTGCCTTTCCTCTGCTTCATTCATTCCACAAACACTTGCTAACCACCAGCATACGGGAGCCCTGCAGCCTCACACGGACTCTGTCCCCAGCAAAGCTCATGAGAAGGGGTCCCTGGAAATGACCACTTTGTGCCCGCCTTGCTGTCCCCCATCAGAGGTGACAGAAGCCTGCCCAGGGAGGGGAAATGCTGTGATAAGGCTGCCAGGCAGGGGTTGGGGATGATGAGGTCAGCTCTGTAATATATATTTTTTTCTTTTTAACTAAAGCAAAATTTGTACAATGAAATCCAGAGAGATTTTTCCACCAAAGATCACAGATGAAAAGCTGCTTCTAAAACAGGATGTATAATCTGGTTCCCCAGTAAAGTTGCTGCCATTGTAACCCCCTTTACTGGACACTGGTATACATTTCATTCCGTCGGCGTCTGGTGTGAACGCCGTATATGTGTATGGAGATGGTGCTTTATTATTTAACTAAAGATGATCTTATTCGCTATAAGTAACTAAATATTTGTAAAAAAGACCCATGCACTTTTACTACAGTATTGGGGTTTCTTCCCTAAATGCCCATCAGGGCAGTTCTAGTGTGGCTACTGGACACGGAGGGGGCACCTGCCTGCCAGCACCACGTGCAGGAGCCCGTGGCCTGTCCCCTGGGCCCCATGAGCTCCGTCTCAGGCTGGACCCTTGGCCCTGGGTTTTCGGGACTTGCAGAGGTCTCTGAGGGTGCACATCAGGCCCCCGGAACAGCGCCACGAGTCAGAAGTCTCCAGAGTGAGCTCTGGCTGGGCCTCTGGCTTGGTACACGGGACCCACGCCCCTACCAAGGTCCAGACCACTGACTGACACTTGGGGGCGTCTGGGAACGTGGTGCCGAGAACAGCCAGCCGGGCGGCCCATGCCCGGGGTCTGCTTACCGAGAGGGTGTGTCCCCGCCTTGTGAAGGACGGCTCAGCCAGCAGCAACGGGCAGGAGGCTGAATTCTGCTTCTGTAAACACGTGAACAAGTCCAGTAAAATCCTGTCAGAAATAAATGATCTAACGCCACATGTAAACCAGGTATTGTCACCTTGTGGGTAATAAACTCATTCACTAAACACTGAAGGTCCAGTTTCCTTCTTTTATCCAACCTTAACCCTAGGGCCATCTTGGGTTTGCTCCTAACTCTCCGTAAGCGCCATCGAGTGGTTTCAGTGTAGGCGCTTCACTTCCTCGCCCTTGCTGATAACTTCCAACATCTTAGCTGACAGTGACTTCATTTGAAACAGCTGGTAGACAGAAAGGCTTTTAGGAAGCGGTCATTTATGTAAGAGAGAAAAACGGGGTGAACCTGTGGCGGTAACGGGGGCCTAAGTGGGCTGCAGCAGGTGTAGGTTCTGTATTTATGCAAATAGGCTCCTGGGGGTGGGGCTTGCTGAAATGGAAAGGGCGCTGTTTTGTGCCTTTGGTGCTTCCTCTGTGCTTTGGGGAGACTCCCTCCTGCTTTGTCACGGAAGGCCCTCCATGAGCTGCTCGTTAAACAGAGGCCATATCTTCCCTGCCTTGGCTTTAGAAACCCAAAGTGAATTGGTACCAAAAAAGTGCTTGTCTGGAACTAGAAGCCAGTCTGCTTTAATAGAAGTCCAGCTCTGCAGCCGTATTTCAGACAACAAAAAAGAAAGCTCGCTTTGGGTGCGAGCACGGCACCACCACCCCAGTGAAAAGCCTGCCCCCGCCCCCTGAGTTGTAAAGCTCATCACACAGTGATCAGCTTTATGATTGTTCTCAGAAAATGTGAACGCATCAGCTGAGCTCAAATGACAACCTGGAGACTGGATTAAAAGTGCATGACTTTTGTCTGTTTCTAGGAGATTCCTTAACAAGATGGCGAGCCAGGCAGATATGCTGCACAACCTCTGCTGCCTGCATGTTTGCATTTCTTGCCGTGATGCCATGGGACCCCCAGGCGGCGAGGCGGAGGCTCGGGGCCACTGAGTGCTGGTTTCTCTCAAACTTGCTGCTGCCGCCCGGCTGCAGTGTGACCTTGGGTTTGCACAGGACTCCGGGAAGCTCTGGGTTTCTGAGCCTTGGAACAGAGAGGCAGCCTGGGGCTCTGGGCCACGTGACCCGACCCTTGTAAAAGGGAGCCGGTTCCTTGTTCCACGCTGGCGTGGAGACTGAGACGGGCGCTGCCTGCCGGGCGGCTGGGGAGCAATCCATCCCAGGCTGCTTGCTGGGCTCTTGTGAAAATATTAAGACCAAATAAAAATGTGATCACTACTGTAGTGGGCTGAATAGTGGCCCTCAGACAGGTAGGTCCATGTCCTAACCTCTGAAACCTGTGACTGAATTTCCTCAGAAAAAGGATCTTGCAGATATATTAAAGATGTCGAGATGAGGTCACCCTGGGTTGGGATGGACCCTCAATCCAATGACAAGTGTCTTAGAAGAGGGAACACAGATACAGACACACACGGGGGAGAGGCCCACCTACATGTAACTCAGGTGTATGCACATGTCAAAATTCATATTAACAGAATTGCACACTACACCTGTGCATGTCACTGTATGTAAATTCACCTCAATTAAAAACCAAAACCACCCCAAAAACACAAAGCCAAGCACTATAGATCCTACAGCTGTTGAAAAAGATAATAGCGGAATATTTTTAACTTAATACCAATAAATTTGACAACTTCGATGGAATACAAAAATTATTTGAAAAACACAAACAACTAAAGCTCATGCAAAAAGAAACAGATAAACCGAATAGCCTTATTTGTAATCCAGAAGTTCAACCCATAGTTTAAACTTCACATAAAGAAAATGATATAAAGAATTCCCAATGAATTTTTTCAAACATATAAGGAATAAGAGTGAACACTTCCTGCCTCATTTTGAGATTGACATTACCTTGCTACCAAAACCGGACAAGCTGTTACAAAGACAAAAATAATCTGGACCAAACCAGATCCAACACTACACAAGAAGGTTGATACCTTGTGACCAAGTGGAACTCATCCCAGGAATGGAAGGTTGGTTTAATATTCCAGACCAAGCGATGGAATTCACCATCTTCACAAGCTCAAAACGAGAAATCACAAGCTCATCTCAATAGATTCAGAAGAGCATTTGACATAATTCAACATCCACTCATGATAAAAGCACCCAGCAAACTAGGAATAGAAACTTCCTCAACTGGATAGAAGGCAGCTATGAAAATCCCATGGCAAACATTATACTTAATGGTGAAAGACTAAATGCTTTTACTCTAAAATCAGGAACAAGGCAGACGTCTCTCTCCCAGGCTGGGAGAAAATATTCACAAAATATATATCAGATAAAGGACTTGTATCCTTAAAACTCAACAATAATAAGAAAAACCAACCAACTAAGAAACAAGACAAAAGACACACCGATGGCAGTCACCGGGAAAAATGTTCACCATCTAAGGAAACGCACATTAAAACCACGTGAGGTCCTGTTGCAGACCCACGGAATGATTACAACTTTGCTGACGAGGGTGTGGACCCCCGGGGCCCTCACTCACTGCTGTGTGAAGGCAAAATGGTACAGCCCCACCGGAGAATAGTTTGGCAGCTTTTCATAAAGTTAAAAATATACATACCATATGACTCAGCGATTCCTCTCTTCTCATCAAAGAGAAGTGAAAATATACATTTATACAAAGCAGTTTTGTTCATAACAACCAAAAATTAGGAGCAGTCCAAATGCCCATCAACTGTTGAGTGAACAAACTTGCAGAATAGTCACTTACCTTATGGGCCACTAGTCACCAAAAAAAGGAACTCATGAAACTTGTGATAACATGGATCAAAAAGTTTATGCTAAATGAGACACCAGTCACACAAGACTGCACACTCACTGTGTGGTTCTGTTTATGTGAAACTCAAGAAAAGGCAAACTACGGTGACAAGAAGCCAATCAATGGCTGTCACGGATAAGAGGTGGCACAAGGGGACTTTTTTGGGTGACAGATATGCTGCTGTGGACGTGTGTGTGACGTTCTCGTGTGCACATGTGCTTTCTTTCCTCTCGGGTCTGCCCCTCAGAGTGGGGCTGTATCATAACTAGTATGTGCATTTTTGGAGCAGCTCTGTATGGTGATTGCAGTGGTGGTTACACACTGAACTCAGTGGTCAGAACTCACCGCTTAAAATTCGTCAGTTCTAGTCCATGTAATTTATACATCAGTAAAGTTCATTTTTAAAGCAAAATGAAGAAGTTGAAATCAGACAGAAAAAGAACCAAATCATGATTAATCCTGAATTCTACACTTCGCCGATGCACAGAGCTGAAATTCACATGACGCCATCTCTACTCACTGTGCCGTGTAGACGCAGCCAAGTCCGACGTCTCCCAGGCCTGTCCAGCGCTGCACCAGGACGGTTCACTCCGCAGCCAGGTGGCCTGTGGGGTCAGCTGCCCCCTCGGCCTGCACGTGGCTCCTCTCCAGCCCTCTGCACGTTTCAGACCGGTCTGCCCTCCAGCCTTCCAGGGTTCCTGTGTGCCCCCTGGGAGACGCCGACTCGCGTCTTTGAGTGTTTTCTATCATTTCTAAGAGCCTGGAATAGAACAGCTCTCAGAGCTGTTTCCTGACCTAAAAATCATAGCCTTCTCCCCACATTACTGGAAGAACCCAATGACATCAAGACATACAAGATGGACAGCAAAGAAAAGGCTTATAACTAAAGTCAGGGAGTCCTGTAGGCTGAGTTAAAAGCCAAATGTGAGATTTCTGATTAAGCATTTGATTCTTTTCACTAATAAGTTTTCTGTTTCCATATGTCCTACTTGAGGCCTCCCATTCTTCCTAGGAAAATCCTAAAGGGTTTTACCTAGAAAGACAAATTACATTAGTGCTGAATTTTTAGAATGATAGAAAGGTCGAGAGACAGATGATAAAACGTTTACTTTCTAATAAAAACCTTTGTTCATAACTTTACAAGAATAGATCTACATGTGTAAATAAGGAAAGATAATGAAATATTTTGATGAACAAAATAGTAGATTGCAAACTCTACGTAGTGTGGTCAATTTTTGTTTAAAAAAAGTTTCTGCCTTAGCCTATGTGGGGACATGTAAGGGCGTGCGGGTTGGGCACTGATTTTGTTATCTGCTGCCCCTAGCCCCAGGAGGGCCACCCCAGCAAAAGGCATGGACGTGAATGGGACCGGCGCCTGGGAGGGGGCCCTCCCTGGGCAGGACAGCACCTGTGCCAGGTGAGGCACTTGCTCTGGTGGTGGTGGGGGCCTTGGGCTGGGCGGACAGCAGGGGGCGCTGCATGCTCACGTTAGCCAGGTGGGGTGCCGGTGGGAGCCTTGCTTCCCTTCCCACCCCTGCACTGCACCAGCGGCAGAGGCGGTCTGTACCGCAGCAGGAGGGGGAATGCCTGGACCCCCTAGCCTCCCCCCGCCCCCCCCGCCACAGGGCGGCGTACCCAAGTTTTGCCCATGGGGTACTCAGGTCACAAGTGCAGAGCTCAGGCTGGGGTGTGCGTGTGGTGGGGCATTCTGGCCTCCATGCCGAGGCTCAGGCTGGACCCTGGGACCACGGAGTGACCTGGACACCCCCGTCCCCCCTTCTTCCCATCTCCATGCCCCCCCCAGAGCCGATTCAGCACCTCCACTCCCACCCCGAGTCAGCAGAGCCTTTGAAGAAGTCAGCTGTGTGACCCTGGGCAAGCCTCAATTCCCTTCATTTCCTCAGCTGCCAACTGCAGGGCTGGGGGTGGGCGTGGGCGCATGTGCGAGTGTGAGTGCGAGTGAGTGTGTGTGTATGTGTGTGTGCGTGTGTGCGTTCGCGCGCATGTGCAAGTGTGTATGTGTGTGTGTGCGCGCGTGTGCGCACTTCCAGCCGGCCTGGTTGCTGTGGCATACACACCCCACCCACACACCCTGTGCCTGATGACAGCTGGGCCACTCAGTGTTGGCTGGCAGTAACCAGGGCTGGGTTTCTGAGCCTCCCTTTCCTCCAATGCTCTCTAAAGACAATCAGGACCCCGCCGCCCACCCAGACCTGGCCTGGGACCTGAAGGGCCCGTGATGTAGCCAGCACAGCCAGTGTGCTGGGTGGGTGGGTGTCATTCCCAGCTGGCTCAGCCTGAGCCAGGTGAGGTGGGCAGAGTCGAGACACCCCCTCACCTCTGGCAGACACACTGCCCTGGAGGGACCGGGGCTGAAGCTGGCCTGTGCTGGGGGTTCAGGCATGGCCCCCCAGGCTGTGAGCTGGGGGGCCTCTGGGGAAACACTGAGCCCACACTTAGTCCCCATCCCTTGTCCCCGCCCCCCCCCCACACACACACACCGGGACCCACCCAGGCTCCAGAGGGCAGAGGGAGGGGTCTGGGGGACGTGACACAGACACAGCCACATGGTCAGCTGGTAGGGAAAGGTTTATTCAGATTCGACCGTAACAACAGAGGGGAACAGACGCAGGAGGCCCGGTCCATGTCCAGGCCGGCCCATGCACGGAGGCGGCGATGACAGTGCCACACAGACAGCTGCGCGCAATAGAGCAGGAAGCAGCGGCGAGCGTGTCACACGACCAGCGTCTACCTGAGGGAGCCACCCCCAGGGCTCTGCGTGGGAACACACACACCAGGCCACCGGGCCCGCCTAGTAAAAACTCAAGTAATGTGCGAGATGACTTCTTTATAATCCCTCTTCCTCATAAAATGTCATGTGTTTAACACACACTGGTATCGTTGCTAAAATCAGCAAGAGCTATGAGAGGGCTCCAACTTAATAAGTTGATAAAAAGTTGTCCTGCGGCCAGTTCACAATGGAACTAAATAGTTTTGTTCCGAGACGCCTGGGGAGTTTTTCTGGTAACAAGAGGCATTTCCAACCAACAGTCCTTCTGCCACCAAGTGTCTCGGTCTGTGGCACGTGGCGGTGTGGCCCTGGAGGTCCCAGAGGAGTGGCGCTCCTGAGGATGGGGTCAGGCCAGGGCGGCGGAGGCTGGCTTCCCACTGGAGGTAATGACAACAGCTTTCGGCTGGGTCCCAGACGTGCCACCTGTCCCACTGCCAGCGGCCCCCAGGCCCAGGAGCAGCAGGAAGATGGAGGGCGTGTCAGTGCAGCAGACGCATGCGGAGGCAACAAAGAAGACGGCCAGTGGCCTTCCCAGGACCCACAGCGGCTGCACCTGCACTCACAATTCTGGGCCGACGGGGAACAGGAGCCCAACAGCTGGGGAAAAGCCACGTCCTGGTATCTTTTCCGGTTGGTTCGTGTGAATTTGGTGTTTTACGAACCTGGTCTGGGACAGGTGACCCCGTGACAGTGCTGCACGAAGCATTCATTAGTCACAGAAGGAACAGCTGGCACCTTCTATTTTTCCAACACACCATACAAACGTGCCAGGCTACGGAGGCCTGTGCCCCCTGGAGGGCTGGAGAGAGATGTGCTGCCCTCTAGCACGAGTCCTACCGCCCACTCCTGCTTCCTGCAGCCCCTCAGAGAGGCTCCACCGTGGGGTCCCGGGTGGTCAGACCTGTTTCTTCACACACTGGTGCCTTTAAGAAACACAGCTGTGGAGCCCCTGCCCCTTGAGGGGCTCTGGGAGGCAGTGGACAGGAGCCAGTATGCTCAGGGCCAGTTGGATACTTCCAGCGGGGACACCCGCCCCTACAGCCAGCTCCTCAGCCACCCGGGGACATCGCAGTGCCACTCTAACAGCAGGGCACAAAGGGTGGGTGCAGAGGCTGGCCGGCCGGGCTAAACGCTCCAGCCTCCGGTGCCCCTTCCTGCTCGTGCATGCTTCCATGTGGCCCAGACTTCTGCCTCATGTTTGGGGCGTCTCTTTAAAAGATTTTTTACTTAGTTGACTTTTAGACGGAACAAAGATGTAAATCAGACCAACGTTACCCAATGTTGGTAATAAGTCTGTTTATGTTATGCAGCAACCAGCCAAACCCCTGGCAGACATACTCCCAAGTCCGCTGCTCGGGCGCTGGCCCACTGACCGCCAATGCCCACAAACGCTGGGGCCTCCACCAGGCCGACGCCAGGCTATCCCAGCACCGGCCATTCCTTTCAGAGCCAGGGTGCCAGACAGAGAGCCTTTCAAGTGACCAGGCCACAGCGGAACGGCGTCCCCATCGCATCTTGTGAGGTACAGCGTCAGAACACATACACACAAGCTGGTCTGCAATCACTGCACATACAGTCCCCTTCCTCTCTGCTCTGCTTAAGACACAAGGTGACAGCACTCTGAGAGTTTCAAGTTAGTGCAATCTTGAAATAATCTCCTTGCAAGGATGGGGCTGAGGGGAAAGGGTTCCGCTCCGTGGTCCCCCCTGCTCACACTCGGAGCGGGGAACCGGGGCGGCAGCTCTATAGCCGGACCAGCACCTCCCCCTCGACCCAACCCCTGGCATCTCCGTCCCCTGGGTCTGCACGCTGAGCAGGCCACACGGTAAGACGGATTTTGGTCACAAACATCCAAAAGGCTTCAAAATCTTTACAAACCTGCCTAAATGCAGCCACTCACTTGTGCAGCCAGGAGCAAACAGCAGGCCCACCCCACTGACTGTCACGTGAGCGGCACACGAGCAGGGTGCTTCTCAGTGTTGTGATTCCTTGAACAGTGACTTCAGCAAAGTGTCCTTTGATGTCTTTATTTCAGATCATGGTCAAGGTTAAGGCTGGGATCTCAAGGGTTAACGCCATTTTTGGGTGGTGGTCCTGCTATAAGCCCCTCTTGCTCCTGGGAATCCAAGCCGTGAGCCCCTGCCCGGTGGCTGCGGGCGCTGCATCCGGCCTGGGTGGGGC